CAGCTCTTAACCATCGCGCTGCTTGGCCGGCCCAGGGGTTTCCTTATATTTATGTATAATGCTTGGCACAGAGCCTGGTGCACAGGAGGTGCCCAGTTAGCCAGGGTGAGAATTGGAAGTGGGAAGGTATAGGAAGGGAGAGGGGTCTGCAAAGGTTTATTCTGGCAAAGCCAGAGCCCAGGTAACATGGAGCCTGGCTGCAAGCGGAGAAACGAGCCCTTCTCTCAGGGCCTACAGGAGCCTGGAAGGGTTAGCAGGGGAGAGACAGGCAGGGAAAGATTGCATCTCAGAGGGCTTGCTGGGCTGCCTGCCAAGTGAGGCTGAACTGGGGAGCTGGAGGTGGGAGGCAGGTGCCCACTTGGAGGTAGGTACTTCTGTTTCCCAGCCATCACCTCTAGGGCCTCAGGACCACCTTGCAGCCTCCAGAGGCTAGGGTTGCCTGGAAACACAGCTCGACACAGCCCCCCTCGGCAGTGGCTGCACCCGAGGCAAGAAGACAAAGGCCGCCCATCAATAGAAAAATCCAGGTTAGCAAGGAGCCCAGTGGTTCCCTGGCAACTGGGGCTGAAGTAGGGCAGTGCCCGCAGTGGGCGGTGGTGAGGGCAGCTATCACCTTCTTGCCATCCTCCACCCTCATTCCCTCGGGCTAGGCCCTCATCCACTCCTCACAGGAGGGGTGAGCATCCCTGTTTCACAAGAGGGTAAACTGAGGTCATGGGCGGTCACTTGTATGCGTCACACAAGCAGCAAGCAGTGAAGCAGGGTGGAGCCCAGGTCTGTTTGACTCTGCGTCCCACTTCACTCCTGGCCCCTTCCCTGGAGCCTAGCCCAGGGTCTGGCATCCAGCACATGTCCTCAGGGCGTCTGCCAACCTGACAGAAGAGGCTAGGGAGCTAGTGGACACAGTAGGCAATTCAACTGAGGGGCTCCTACAAAGCACCCTGGTGGGCCCCAGGGAAGAAGGTGCTGCCCCCACCCCAGGGGTCTCTGGGCCTCTGAGGTTTCCCTGCTTCGGCACTTATTTGCATACTGCCCTAGTTTGTGCCAGCTCCGGTGGGGGGGGGGAGGTGCTGTGAGAGGGAGGAAGCCCAGGGAAGGCTGGGAGTTCCCAGGGGGAGAAAGCGGAGCTCCCTAGGGCTGCTGACGGGCCGGAGCCCAGAGACATGCAGAGGTTGCCTCAGAGCCACTCTGTGAGAAGGGCACCCAATTCCCACCCCCACCTGAGCCTTGGGCAGCCATGATGTCCCAGGTCACTCCCCTGGGGTGAGGACGCCACACACGCTGGCCCCTAATCCTGCTCCAGGACACACCAACTGCTCCCTGGCCAACCCCTAGGGGCTGGACATGGTTCTCCCCTCAGAACTGCCACAAGGCCTGGGCATCTGAGGCTCAGCCAGGTGAGGTGGGCAGGTGGGGCTAAGGGGGCTAATTGGTCCTTGAGGCTAAGAAAAGGCTGAGATGGCCACTCCGGGCTCACCCAGGTCCTCCCAGTCTGAGTGCAAGACAGATGCTATCCCTTCCCCTTCCTCGGCTGAGTCAGGGGTTAAGGGAAGGTGCTCTACAACCAGACAGTCGTCTCTGGGGCAGAGCTGGGGCTCCCCAGCAAACCTCAGTAAGCACTTACTGCACACCTCATTCCCTTTCCAGGCAGAATTTTACTGAACTCAAAGACCGGATTCCAGGCTTCACAAGTGAGGAAACTGAGGCTCAGAGGCTAAATAGTACCCCATAACAACGTGCTCTCAAAGGAGACGAGGTGTACCCACCTGGGGTGGAAGTGGACAGCAGGCACCACGCCAGGCCCAGCATTCCCGCTGCTCCTGCATGCCCAGCTCTTGTCCATCACCCGCTCACTCGGCACCACCATGGGCTTCCTGCTGCGGTCAGGCAGGGAGGCTGGGCCACCCTGGGCTGTCTCCCTTGGCCCCAAGACAGGACGGCAAGGGGCCTGGGAGGGCTGGAGGGCACCTCACTGCACTCCCACGTGTGCTGTTGCCACCTCCTCTTCCGAAAAGTCACCGTTGCCTCTGCCCTAGCCACACATCTGGTACTGAATCACTAGTGTGCCAGGGCGGCCCGGAGTCTGCTCAGCACAAGCTTTACCCCATCACCCTGACCTGACTGACTCGGCTGAGGATTAGTGAGAGACTGAGGGAAGACTGCAGCCCCAGCTGCCCCATTCTCCGACTCCTCCAGACTCAGGGTGCTGGGGATAGAGGCCTCCCCACTCTTGAGCAGTCCCAGGTCGGAACCTAACCAACTGCAGCTTAAGGACTGGGGTCGGCATGACAGAAGGAGGGGTGGGGGTGTTGGGCTCTAGAGCAGTCACACATGGGTTCAATCTCTGGCTCATCACTTAGCATCTCTGTGAGCCTGGGCAAGCTACTCACCCTCACCTGAGCTTCAGGGTCCCCCTCTGCAAACAGGATGCTAGTCGCTGCCTTCATGGATGCTGCGGGGATTAAGTGGAGCTACTGAAAGTAGGGCTGGCCAGGGCCTGGCCCGACCAGGCCTCTCCTGAGTGCCAGTTCTCACGATAGCCCATGTGGGCCAGAGGAAGAGCCAAGCTCAGTGGCTTGGGAGTGGGCAAGGGTGCTTTAGGGAACCCAACATCGGTCCCAGCAGCATGAGGACCCTGAGTGCCCACTTCCCAGCCCCTATACAGGCCTGTGTCCACCTGCTCCCACACCAGCTGAGCCACAGTCAGGCCCTGGCCCCAAGTCCCTGAGTCTCAGTTTCCTCCTGTGTAATTCTGGGCAATTGTGTGTGTTCAGCTGACCTCCTGGTGTGGCTGGAGGATCCAGAGGTCACAGGGGAACAGTGGCTCTTCTTACAATCAGGCCTCTGCCCAGGAGCCACCTCCTGCAGGAAGCCTTTCCAGCCTCTGTCAGGGTGGACCCTGCCCTCTCCTGGCCCCTTCAGCCATCATTGTTTATGGTCTCCCCTGAGAGAGGGAGGCAGGCGAGTGCACGCAGGAGGCTGGGCACCCAGCAGGGCCTGGTCCCTCCATGAGCTCACTTCTTCTCACAATGAGGATGTGCAGGTCCAAGATGAGGCCCCTCCTCCTGGATGTCCTCCTTCCTTCTCTCTCCACCCACACACTCAGACCCTGCCTCTAATTGGCTGCAGAAGAGGCCTGTCCATCCCTTTCCATCTGTGCCAAGTAGCCAGGGCACAGGCTCACAGCCACATGGGCAGTTTATTTATAGAGCTCTTATCTTTCCCAGGGTGGCCCAAGAAAAAGCTTTGGCCTTCCGGGCAAACAGACCTGAGTTAGAGCCCAATGACAAGGGTCTTGCGAGTCCCTTCCCCTCTCTGAGCCTTCTTTTCCCTGCCTATACCCGGAGTGGATTCCTGAACATCTGGGCATGAGGCTGAGGATATGATAGCCTTGGGGGTCCTCATCCCAGGGACAGTCACACAGTAGGGACACAGTGTCAGCTCCCTCCTGTCTTCTTTGTCACCCTAGCGACAACTGATGACACTAAGCCTAGGCCAGGCACCTAAGGACTCAGTACAAAGTAGGTGCTAAGCTCTGCCAGAGACCACATCCTGGCACCCCCAACTCCGAGTGGGGATGGGACTGGATGGGTCCTGCTGGCTGATCTCAGACAAAACTGGGAGAAGGGCTGGCTCTATAACAGAGGGAGTCTGGCCTCACCAAGCCAGGTCAGATTCTGAACAGCCCCATCAACATTTCCTCCTCCCCCTGCAGGTAACCAGCCTGGTCTTTCTTGGAAACTGATGCCAGAGTGGTCAGACAACCCTCACCTCCACCTGGAGACAGGGCTGGGAGCTGGGAAAGAGCTTGAGTGACAGACTCCAGCACCAATGGCTGTGACTCAAACTAGGGCTGCTCCCCATTAAGCAGCTTAGGAAGGAGGGGGATCCTGTCAGTGCTGCTGCAAGGAGAACTGCACCCAGGGCCTGGCACAGAGCAGGGCCTCAGCAGGCAGTTTCCTCCGCTGGCCCAGAATAAGGGCCATGCCCGAGAGCTGAGGGCAAGCACCAACTCACTCATACCCACAGGGGCGGCCTTGAGTCTTCACCCCAACCCCCAACACACACTTGGGATCCTTAGGGACCTGGCTGAAAACCTTCCTGTGTATCCCAGCACACTGTAATGCCCTCAGAGGCCTGGTCAGCACAGACATGGCAGCAGGAGAGGACAGGCTACTGGCCAGGCCGGCCCCACCCAGCTGGACATGCAGTTCCCATAAATTCCCCATACCTGTGCCTGTTCCCAGAAGTGAGGGGGGACACCTGGCAGGTGGACAACAATGAAGAGGGGCTCACATTGGGATAGAAGGACTTCCTGGATGAGGGGGACTGGGCTGTACCCAGAATGGCCAGGAGGGTTCTAGAAAGAGGAGACAGCCAAAGTAAAGGCAAAGTAGAACCAGGTGTCTGGTACGGAGAGATGAGCGTGAAGATGTAAAGTTCAAAATCTTGGAAGGAAAAGCCTCGATGATAGGATGAGGTGTCAGGACTATGCAGACAAAAAGAGTTACTTTAGGGAGATCAGGTCACTCTGTGTGTGCAAGAACTGGAAATGAGGCAGAAGCTGGTCTAGGAAGATAGGCACGGACAGCAAAGCTAGAGCTGGAACATAAGAGGGAGCCCTGATTTTGTGAAGGTGTGTCTCAGGCTGGCTTCCAATCCTGGGCCATGTTCAGTCGGCCTGGAAAGGTGTGGCAGGATAGAAGGTAGGTGCCCTGTTGGGAGCCAGAATACCAAGGCTCTGGGAATCTTAGTTAAGTCCCTGCATTTCTCTTAACCCCAGTCCCTACCTGTGGAAAATGGGGCTGGGCCTATGAGCAGGGGCGCGGTGCTCACTGCCCCTCAAAGTCTCCCTTCCTTCCTTGGCCAGACACAGATACCTCCCTCTAGCAACTATCCCATTAGTCCCACTCGGATCACATGTGGAAACCCAGCCTGGCCCCACCATCATCCCTATCATCCCAGGAGGCCCAAGTTCCCAGAAAGGTTTGGTTTCGGTGGGGCAAAGGGTGGGACTGGGGACCTCCATGAGGGTTGAGACCAGAAAAGGAGGTTAACCCTTAATTAACCCTTCCCATCTCCCTGCTCCTGGGCCCTGAGCTATTTCCACCTCTTTGCTGAGGATGGAAATAACTCAGGCTTAGCCCCAGGAGACCAAGACAGCTATTCTGATCAGCCCCAAGAAGCACAGCTTTAGCCATTTCAGAAAAGACAGAGGGGCACCCTGATCCCCAGCTCCAGCTCTCAGCCAAGCAGCAGCAATGGTCAGAGCTGCCTGGGTCCTCTGGGAAGAATGGGGAGGCTGAGGCCCTGAGAGGGTGCACCACAAGCTCAGCATCACTACCAGCCTGCTCTGCATTGTGGGTGGATTTGGGAAAGTGCCCCTAGAGCAACTCCAAAGAGGGGGATAAGGTGTCTTAGGTAACAGTGAAGGTCAATGGGGACTCTCAGTTATCCCTGCCACCCTTGGAACCTGGGCTGTGCTGCTGACTCCTAACACTCTTCAGAGCTATGTGGACGCTCCCAAAGCCAATTGCAGGCTCTAGAAGGCAGGAGACAGGCCTTTCTGGTGACCTCTGGCTAGGGGTGGGAGCTGGAGGAAGGGAGGAGGGGAAGGAAGAGGAAGAAGAGGAGGGGGGAAACCACATAACCCCCCCCCCACACACACACACACAAAGTTTCAGACATGTGTGCAAACACACACCACACTCAGAACTCACAGTGACACACCCTGGCAAGACCATGCTTGCCAGTCCCGGTTTGAGAAGGAGGCCCAAAAAGGCCATGAGCAGATACAGGCATATCTCGTTTTATTGTGCTTCACTTTATTGTGCTTCACAGGTGTTGTGTTTTTGGTGTTTGTTTTTTGTTTTTTATTTGACAAATTAAAGGCAAGACCCTCCACCAACAAAAATATTACGGCTCGCTTTATTGTGATACTCGCTTTATGAGGGTGGTCTGGCACCGAACCCACAATATCTCCGAGGTATGCCTGTATTGGGAAGATGGGTGGCCCTCTCCAAGCACCTCACAGGGCTTCAGTGGCGAAAGACCTGCATTCTGGTCCTGGCATTGTCCTGACTACATGACCTTGGGCAAGTTGCTTGCTTCTCTGAGCCTCAGTTTCTTTCTCTGAAAAACAGTCACCACATCTCAGAACCACTGTGAGGATTCAACAAGAGCAAGCCATAAAGTACTGAGCACAACACCTACAACTGCCCTCGCCCCCACCAGAACGCAATCAACATTTTCAGAGGCTATCAGCAGAGGACAGAACTTCCAGGCCCTTCAGCAGGTGCTCCCTCACTCTTCCTGGGCTAGGGAGCCCAATTTCCATTCCCCTCTCTGTGAAACTGACAGACCTTCTTGTGGGGGTGGGGGCCTCAGAGGGGTCTAGCCCAGATGGTGAAGGGATCCTGCTCCAGTTCCCCAAATCAGAGACTACTCGTGGGGGAAAAGTCCATGCCCCCTCTCCCAGTACACAGGGAAATGAAAAAAGGAGGCCTGCGCCAGAGAAGTCACAATCTATGGATCAGAATTTTGAGCTTGGCCCGAGGAGCTGTGCTTCCAACTCTGTCATCAGTACCTGAGTGCAGCCCCTATGCCACTGTGTCTGAAGCAGATAGCCTGCCCACTGTCCCCCCACCCACACACACACACCGCAGTCTTTCTGCCTGAAGGGAAGAAAGGGAGCACAGAGGCAGTTGACCCAAAAACAATGGAGGATCCCAAAGTGATGATTCACAGTCCATTCACAGCCCAACACTTCAGTGTGCAGACTGGGAGACTTGGGGTGGGGGGTCGGGGGTCGGGAAGGGAGGGGCACGGTCTGAGAGCAGTGCCTGGGCCCAGTGAGAATACAGGTTACCAGAGGAGCAGAGCTTTGCCAGGGCTCCAAGGCGTGTGTGTGTTTGGGAGGAGGAGCCTGATGCTACCTCAGGGGCCCTCAACTGCTCCACATGCAGCCCAGTCTTGGCCCCTCTCCCTTGCCAGGGAAAATCACTCAGGGTCCACCGGCTCACTAAGTTGAGACCCTGAGGGGGCGTCCTCCTGAGGACAGTCCTGAAGAGACCCTTGTCCCCTGGCTCCTCCCTTGCGTCCCCCCCCCCCACATCTGCTGACAGGTTTTCTGTGGTCCCTTACTCATTGCCCTGAGGTGCAGACACGCAGACACACTGACACTACTTGACCCCACAAGCACACGATGGAGCCAGTGATTCCGGGCCTGGCTCTCACAGTCACTTGGGGTTCCCCACCCTCTATTTCACACTCACATTAATGAGCGGCCCTGGCCCTGCCCGAGTCACACCCCAGGCCACACACACACTGTGACCCCAGTGACCTGGGGTCTCACATTGGTCTTGGGTC